GGGACGCAGGTCCCAAGCTCGGTATGATGGGTGTTGGCCCGTGTCTTTTCTTTTTGTGTGTTTCCCGATGAAGCTTGCTTCCTGGAATGTGCGTGGGGCGGCGTCTGACGCTTTTAGACGTGCCTTTTTATCCTTAAAAGCTCAGTATTCTCCCGATGTTTTTGCCATGTTCGAACCCCGCATTAGTGGTGCTAGAGCAGATTCTTTTATCCGTAGGTGTGGTTATGCTCGGTCCTTCCGAGTTGAGGCTCAAGGTTTCTCGGGTGGCGTGTGGGTGTTATGGAATGATGAGGTGGATCTACAGGTGCTCGAGTGCAGTCGTCAACATGTCCTCGCTCGGGTGTGTGGTGGCCCCACTCCTTTTATGGTCACCTTTGTCTATGCTAGCCCGAATCCTCGTATTCAACGGGCTCTGTGGGACCGGTTGCAAGATCAGGCGCAGTGCATTACCGGTCCATGGATAGTGGGTGGGGACTTCAATTGCTTTCTCCGGGTTTCGGAGAAACAGGGTGGCTCGGTCCGTAGTTGTAATATTAGCCCGGTTTTCGCTGATTGGATCTTTGATAACGATTTTCATGAAATGCGCACAGATGGGGCTAATGCTACGTGGTTTCGTAATGGCCTGGCAGAGAAGCTGGATCGATGGATTAGTAATGAGGCTTGGTTGAACTCTTTTCCGGACAGTATGGTCTTCCATTTGCCCCGGGTGCACTCCGACCACACCCCTCTTTTAGTTCAAGCGATTAAGACGCGGCAACCTCCGGGCCCTAAACCTTTTCGTTTCCTTGCTGCTTGGCTCTTGCATGAGTCCTTTGACGGTTTGGTAGAGCGGGCTTGGGCTTCGGCGGGTTCTTACGATGCTAAGGCTGAAGCGTTTTCTTCCTCTGCCCAGGTATGGAACGCGGAAGTGTTTGGTAACATTTTTCGCCGGAAGTGTCGTTTGCTGGCCCGCATTGCGGGTATCTAACGGTCGCCGGCTTTTGGTTGGAATCTTTTTCTTTGGCGCCTGGAAAACACGCTCACGGTCGAGCTCGACGGGGTCTTGTTACAAGAGGAGCTTCTTTTGATCCAGAAGACCCAGCGGGATTGGGTTCTCTTTGGCGACAAGAATACGGCTTACTACCACAGGCTCCTGAAACATCGACGACGTCGCTCAAAGATTGTGGCCCTTCTGGACAACAATGATGCTCTCGTTAAGGATCTGACTCAGTTGCAACATATGGCAGTTGACTTTTTCAAGGCCATTTACTCCGCCACGGCTCCAGCCTTGCCTCGCCCTAGCATTCCCGCCGCCTTTCCTCCAATTGCTGGCCCACACTTGCAGGGTTTTTCACATAGCATATCGGATATGGAGGTCTCGCAGGCTTTGAAGAGGATGGCTCCACTTAAGGCTCCGGGAGTTGACGGTTTGCATGCTATCTTCTTCCAGCAAAAATGGCGCCACGTTGGCTCTTCAGTTTGCTCCTTGTTCCGCAATCTATGGTTGGGTTGGCCACTCCCGCCCTCTATGAATAAGACGCTTCTTGTGCTCATCCCGAAAGTTGCTAACCCGACCATGCTCAAACAGTTTCGCCCGATTAGCCTTCTCAACGTGGTCTACAAGTTGTTCACGAAGGTTCTTGCCGAACGGATGAAGCCTATTCTTCCAGCTCTTATAAACCCCGCTCAGGCCAGTTTTGTCCCGGGACGCAGTATTACTGATTACATCATTGTCGCCCAGGAATTAATTCATTCCATGCGTGGAATGAAAGGGAAGCGGGGTTTTATGGTGGTCAAAGTGGATCTCGAGAAGGCGTATGACTATCTTAGCTGGGATTTTATTCGTGAAACTTTGGAGCTGGCAGGTTTCCCGGGCATTTTTATCAGGGCTATAATGGCCTGCGTGAGCTCGGCTACGATGCAGCTCTTGTGGAATGAG